TTGCTGAATTCAGCTATCCGAAGTGCTAGTTGTAAAGCATTTATGTGTTTGAACTAAGAACTATGGTGGATGTTTTGCATAAGATTCACTTACTATATAGTCATCTGGGATTACGAAGTTTCTTGTCTTATGATGTTCAAATGGTTAATTTCCCATTACAATTTGTATTGTTGGTAATTAACCATAAAAGTGGTTATATATATTGATACTCGGGATTAACAAATTCTTCCAGATGTTGACTGTTTTGTGTAATTTTCACTTGAGGGCATCCTTCATGTTCCTTAAGGATTGCTTTTTTGGGATTGAGTTTATTTTTCGATATAAGAAGTGTAATATGTTCCCATAACTATAAATATCAAACCTTGGGAGATGTAAAGGCATAAGAATTATGTGGTATGTCTCCAAAATTCTACTTTATAATAACTATGCAATTTCATTCTCTTTGAATCTTTTTTTATTCGGAAAAAGGCTTTGGCTTAGCATGGGTTTAACATTTCATGACCTGTGTTTCAGATTGTTTTGGAAGAGGCTTTTGGTGGGTTTCCCTTATTGATAAATTGTTACATGAGTATTTCATGTTCTCGTGAGGTGATCTGCATGATGATGAATTATTTTTCTTTTAAGGTGCATTTAGTTACAGACATACCACATAATTCTTATGTATTTACAAATCTAACACCCAAACATTCATATTCACATTCATATTCATATTCATAATTCTTATGTGAAGGCATTGTAACTATACATATCAAACCTTGGTTGTTAGATATGTAAATACATAAGAACTTTGTGGTTATGTGCAACCTTCTAGTTTTCGTTCATAGGAAGTGGATATTTTCATTCACTGTGAATCTATTTTGGTTTTGGAGGTATGTAATTTTCTAGTTTGTGTGTAAAACCTATCTCACAATAATGATTTTTAAATTTATGAGAAGCTCTTAAGAACCATCATATCTTTTGAAATTTTATTTCTTGAAATGCTCTTAGAAAGGTTTTTTTCTTATTGAGATAACACCAAAGTTTATTTGCCCGTTACAAATTGTAATGCTGGTGGTCAACCTTGAATAGTAGTTATATGATTATGTCATTATGTTGCTCAAGGAAAACACAAAAGTATTTATTTATTGATTTTGGTTTGTGGAAATTTGGGTTGTATTATAACCGGATGATAGTAAGACTTATCTCTACTTGCTAGCAGTCACTTATATCGAGAAACCTAGTGGTTATGCTGCTTAAGGGAAAAGGTCATCTGCTTCCTATCAAAATCAGCCAAGATTAATCTTCACAATAACAAGTTATATTACTGTCTTTATCAATCATGTTTGAGCAGTCTACATCATACTAATTATATAGGATGACATTATCTTACTCACTGGAGGCAACCATAGTGACATCTTTGTGGCAAAACATTAGTTGCAAAGGTGCTTTGTTATCAAAAAGTCTAGGATGATTCGTATACTTTCCTGTAATTGAGTTTGCTTATGCTAAAAAAGATGCATGGCTTTTAGAAATAAAAGATGCTAATGATCTTTTTTATAAAACAAGCCCTTTGTTTTTAATCTTGTTAGCGCCCTTTTGTTCTGAATAGCTACTATTGAGTAATAATTCACTCCAAATTGTAGTGTTTTGTGCTCTGCAAATTGCATTTTTGTGTACGCGGGATTATCAAATTTATCCCCTTTTTATGTTATATGCTCCCCAAAATTCATTGTAAGCATAAGTTATTGAAGCGTTTTTGAGTTTGGCACATTGGCCATCACAAATTATAGATTTTACTCAAAAATGAATGTTTCTTCAAATGTCTTATTATTATATTCTAATCATTAATTTACAAGATTATAGTATCAAAAATGAGCTCAAGTAATTTGACGAGCTCTAAGGGAACCAAACGACGTCCAATATTTTATGAATGCAACCTATTATTTGTTGTGTTCATGATACACAAAGGTGACAATATTGGTCATAACTTTTTAGATGTCCAAAAAAATTTAACTAACAAAGATTGCAAATTTTTTTAATGGGTGGATGAACAAAGCGATGCAATAATGGAGAGATGTGATGAAAAGGCAAAGGCATATGATGATACTATGAAGACTGATCTCAATTACTTGAATTTTTTTTGTGAAGACCTTTCTCTTGTTTGATTTTGTAATCATAGCACTTTTGTTATTGTTGCTAACATTGTATTTGTTTTGGTGATGTTCATATATTTTAAAAGACAAGTTGTACTACTTTAAGTTTTTAGTTAATTTTAGTATGTTTGGTTGAGATGCAGCTTTTGTTGAATATATCATGTCAAACTTATGTTTGTATGATTATTTTGTGAGCAAAAAATTCGATTAATGTTCACCTTAAATTATCTTATGATGTTGTGAGTATAAATAACTTGATAAATTGTCATTGAATTTATTCCACAATTCACAATTGAATAACTGTGTTTTTCAAACAGAACTGTATTTTTCAAACTCAACTTTGTTTATGTACTGAGGGATTTTATAGTCATTATGTTAACAAGTAGCACTTTCAAAAATTTGTTTTTCAAATAGACTAATTACTTTTGAAACACCAGCTTTTGAGCAGTAGATTTTTAGCAACAGTTTTTCAATTGCATCCTGTCATATTACCTGCTTGTGTGCTCCCTAAACTTTTTTATTATATTTTGTCAACTCTCCTTGTTAAAATAGGTTGTTAGCCTAGTTCCTAACTCCAACTCTTAAAGACAGAGAAAACAAAATATTATTTTGACATTTTTATCCCACAAGGCAAATGAACTAGTTTCTTTTGTCTTTACCATGGTGATACTAATATGCAAAAGAACCAAGCAACATAAATGTATAGCATATTAAAAACAAAGTGTCATTTTAAAAATCATAACTCGAAAAGTCAACTAAAAAGAAACATCACAACAGACCACGAACTTCAATATCACCATTAACAGCGCCACCCCCCAACATCAACACACACCACCAATAGCTTCACTGCTATGGAACTGAAGAACCACCCTCAGCATCTACACACACCACCAACAACACCACCACCATGGCACTAATAGCACCACCCCCCAATATCTACACACCATCAAGAGCACCATTACCATAGCATTGAAAAACCACCCACGACATCTACAGACATCAATAACAGCACCACCAGAAGTACCATGAACACCAACATCACCACTAACAATATCACACCCAACATTAACACACACCCCCGACATCAACACGCACCACCCCCAACATCAACTAACACCACCTTGGCTCAAGACTACCACCAACAACACACAACATTGTGGTACAATAAAAAAAAAAAGCATCAACCGCAACACCACTACGAACTTCACCACCATCATATGCATCCTTCCTCTAACAAAGAGGGCAAACCACCAACAAGGCCAACCAAAAAAGTAGAGTTTGAACCAACAAAATAAAGGGACGATTACAAACAGAGCACCCAAAACATAGATATTGTAAATCAAACACCCTCTTTCATTCATCTTGCAAATTCTCACTCAAATATCAAACATCATGGCTAAACTCCAAAACATCACTATTAATCAAGCACCATGTTTCATCCATCTTTCAATTTCTCACTCAAATATCAAAGGTCATGATAAAACACCAAAACATTGCTATTACAAATCAAGTACCCTCTTTTATCCATATTTCAATTTCTCAGTCAAATATCAAAGTAAAGGCATCAAATTCATAGTTCAAAAAATCACAAATTGGAATTAATTTGTAAACATTAATGTTTCTTCTGCTCTGTATGTAATTGCGTTAAAAATTAAATAGAGGGGAGAGCCCATTAGAGTAAGCCACCATAATTTTACCAAAAATAATTTTCAAATCAAAGCATGGATTTGATTTGTAAACAACAATGTTTTTTGAGTGTTGTGTGTAATTGAGCTAAAACAGAAATAAAGAGGATAGCCCAATCAAGCTTCGACAAAAAAACCAAAAACCGCAAGAATGTCGCATGGCCAAGAAGAAATTACAAGAATGCCACACGGGATATGACAAAAAAATCTAAACAGCAAAAAAATCCAATCCATATATCGCAGGGAGCAAGCCATAATGGCAAATCTCCAAACCATAAGCTCATTTTAATGCAAATAGTGTAGGGTAGAGATTACCCATGGGAGAATGTCACCGAATCAGAGAATGTAGGAAGGTTGGAGAAGGGCAATGCCACTGGAATCCGCTGAACACAATTAGAGGGAGAGGAGCTAGGGCATAACCACACTTAGGATTGAGGCGCAACAGGAAGGAGAGGAGGAGAAACTGAGGCAAAAGGGTCGAACACAGAGCACACGGGGTGACCAAGAGATTATACGCAAACGAAACACTGGGCAAAGTTACTGTTTTGAGTGTAAGTTTATAAGTTTCAGTGTAAACTGATGGGCTTCCCTTACTGATTAAGGAACTCACTTCAATTAAGAAACAAGGTACCAATTTTGCTTTTTCCATTATTTTTAACTTTGTTACTCTATAGTTACAAGGATCTATGGGGGTAAAGCTGTCTGTTTTGATCTGATTCTTTGTTTGTGTAAAGTTGAACTCTCTTTTGGAATTAAGTTGAAGTCTGCAAAATGATCAAAACTTCGGTCAAAGAACAAGCTGAAAATGAGCGGTCTATTTCGCCTAGGAAAGGAACTGTGCTATTTGCCTTGGACGGAATTGGTTGGGCAGCACCTTGAGTGACAGTAAGTGATATTTTTTATGTATTTATGATCACCACTAAATATAGAAAATACGTATCATAGTTTAATGACTATCGGTATGGCATGCAAGTTAAAATAACTTACATGAAAATGTTTTATTTGATTATCTACTACGTAAACTCTAACCATCTCAGTGAATAACTAAAATTAAAGATGCAGTGATGTGAAAATAATGGCTCGATATAGATGTCATTGCTACCTTCTTCCCTTTCTATTATAGAAATCCAAATTAGAACTTTTTTTCAACTGTCCAAAAGCTTCTTTATGCAATATGCCTCAACTAATAACATCTTGAAAAAACAGCCTGAGACAATGAAGTCCCAACATACATATTTTTTCCTGGTCACTATTAGCAAAAAAAAACCAAAAAAAGAAAGAAATAAAATAGTTTCCAAATAAAAATAAGTGGCATTACAATATTTCAAATGCAATTAATGCCTTGAGGTTTTTTACAGCATGCAACACTAATAGAGGCCTCCAACATGGAGGGTAAAACATGCTGATAAGGCGTTGATTGAGACCAAAAAAAACAGAGCAGAAATTTGCAGGCTGACAAAATAAGATAAATCAGCATCTACAGTAAGAATTTGCATGATCTACACAACCAAAAGTTTACCATCATCGAATTGTCAGATGCTCCTACGAACTCGATTCCAATGCACGAAGTATCTTCTTTCTTGGACCCTGGAACAATCAAATTAGACAATCAATATATGTCAGGAAATCTCAATCAAACATCGAAGCTTGTACCGTTACAACTATAAGGAATCAGAATAAGAACAACAGAAAATTATAAAAGAACTATGAGATGCCTATGCCTTGAAGCAATGAAAAACAGTTGAAGTTTATTAAGTTGAAGGACAACGCAACACCAGGCAACGCGAGAACAGTTTGGTTAAGCTGCAGACAAGCTCCAGCTACTATCACAGTTATTTTGTTGTTTACATCAAAAAACATATTTTGAAATTGGTTTTAAAATCAATTTTGATTAAATTCTAAAAACACCTTGTAGATCCTAAAAATGTGAGATTTTGTTTTGCACACAAAGCTCTGAAAACGAAATCATCATTTCTTGAATACTTCCTATCTACTAGATTTTCTAACATCATTTGGCTGCTTGAAGCGAAAATAAAAGTTTTTTTTAGTAGTAATTTTCTTGGATTTATCATTTAGTTAGATGTAGTTAGAAATCGGGTCATGATTATTTGGTGTTCTTTCACCCTGTCTCCACCTTCCTCACGCCAAAAAGGACCGAAACCCTCTCCTCCCGCGATTGGCCGCACCCGAACCCTAGCCGAAGCCGATTCCCCTTCCTCTCCTGCGACTGGCTGCACCCGAACCCTAGCCGAGATTAGGGCGATGGATCTTGGAGAGCTGAGGGATTTCTTGGAGCGTCGTTCTCCACGAATCTGACCTAAGTTTTCCTTGGGTGATTTTCGGTGTCCTTCAAATGGAATTCACTCTTCGTGAATCCATTCCCTCTTTTAGGGATGTTGTTACGGGCCGTTCTCAAGAGATGGGTGCGGCTGTCTTTCCTTCCTCTTTTAAGGAAAAGATGGTGGATTGTTCTGCTTCGGGCCTACTCAAGAAGTTTGCGTGGAAAAATGGTTTACCAGCGATTTTTCTCCAAGAAGATGATACAAATATTATGGTAGAACCTTTGAAATTTACTTCGATTGGTAAGTTCTCGTTTGCCCATCCCAAAATGGATGTGATTAGGAAGTTTTTTATGGAGCTTAAATTAGTTGGCAAGTGGAGTTTAGGGTTTCTTGGTGGTCGAAATCTGATGATAAAACTTGAAAGAGAAGAAGATTATGTTTCTATTTTTTTCTAAAAAGATTTTAATTATTGAAAAATCGTATATGAAACTTTTAAAATGGACCCTGAATTCAATCCAAGAGAGGAATCTCCTATTGTTCCTATTTGAGTTAAATTTCCTGGGCTGAAACTTCATTTATATAATATGAAATTTCTTCACTCCCTTGCTTCTATTTTTGGTAATCCACTTAAGGTGGATAATGCCACTTTCAATTGTTCAAGGTCTTCGGTGGCTGGAGTTTTGGTAGAACGGGATGTTACTGCCAAATTTCAAGAGATGGTTTAGATTGGTAGTCAAGTTAATGGGTATTGGCAGCCAATAGAATTAGAGTTTGTTCCACATTACTGTACAAATTGCAGAATGTTTGGTCACCTTATTAGTTCTAGTTATGGCGCCCATCCGGAACTGCGTAATAATAAAGGCTTCCCAGCTGTTAGCGATGAAGGGAGGTATCAGATTGGTAAACATAATACTGAAAAGGATAAAGGAATTGCTCTCCCTGAATCAAGGGAAATCCAAGAAATAGGTAAGAAAAATTATGAGGCTTGTAAGACCGCTGGACTTGAGGCTCATAAGACCAGCAGTCTTGATACTATCTTGAATACTAATGATATGTTGATTTCCAATGTTATTAATCCTGTTGATATCACTGTTGGACATATTTCTGGGGATATTATTGTGGAGAATAATGCTCCAGAAGTAGTTACTGTCATGGACCAAACAGGTGATGAGATTATTAGTATGTATCCTCCAACTGCTCCTGTATGTTCTAATGTTGTTTCTGTTGAAGGTACTAGTATGCATCCTCCTGGTCCTATATGTTCTAATGTTGTTTTTGTTGGAGGTACTAGCCGCAATTCGCAAGAATTAAATGAAAAGTTGATTCAATTTCGTAAAGATTTTAATAAAGATTAGATTCTTATTCAGTCAAAGAAAAAGAAAGGCAAGGTATAAAAGGTATGCCTGAATTAGGATATCTTAACCCTCAAGCGGTTGAAACTAACAGTTGTGGTCTTTGGAAAGGTAAGAAAAGTCATTTTGAAGTTCCCTTTACGCAGACAAGAGGGAGAAAATTATTGTTTAATGATTAAATTTATGGTTTGGAATGTTAGAGGTATTGCGGATGTTAATACTTCTAACAGACTTCTTAATTTAATTAAAACTTATAATCTTGCTTTCTTTGGTCTTCAGGAACCTTTAGTGGCTTCTCATTATAATGGGAGGTATTTAAAGTGTTTTAAGAAGTTCAATTCGTTTATGAATATTAATAATAAAATTTGGTTCTTGTGGCTTGATACTATTAAAAGTGGATGTTCTTATTAATCATAATCAATTTCTGCATCTTAAGATTTTGGTTGGTATGGATTGCTTCTGTTGCTGAGAAAAAGGGAGGTAAGCCGCTTAATCTTAGACTATTGGTGATTTCAATGATGCTTTATTTAATGTTGATCTGTTTGATCTTGGATTTAAGGGTAATCAATTTACCTGGTACAGGGGTAGGGTGTTTGAATGGTTGAATAGATTTTTGGGTAACGAGTTCTGGATGTTATCTTATCCAGTTTTCTCGGTTACTCATTTGCCTATTTGTTGTTCGGATCATGCTCCCCTTTTACTTTCTGTTACTTTGCATAATAGAGTTAGACAATATCAGTTTAGATTTTTGAATATGTGAACTTTACATGCTACCTTTTTAGATTTTGTTAAAGCTAATTGGTTTTGTAATGAGGCTGCAATTTCTGGTAACCAATTATAGTTATTACAGCAAAACTTGGCTATTAAATTAAGAGGCTGGGATCAGGATTGTTTTGGGAATGTTCATTCTTTGGTTTTAACTGTTGAAGACAATCTCAGAAATATTGAGAAAGATTATCAAGAGGATGGGATTGATCATACAAGTTTCTTGGAGGCTCGACAAAGATTAGTAACGACTATCCATATGGAAGAAGCTTTTTTCAAGCAAAAGGCAACGAGTAACTTTTTTGTTTATGGTGATCGTAACACTGCTTTTTATCATGCTTTTATGAAACAACGCAAGTTAACTAATTATATTAGTAAAATTAAGAATGCTAGAGGTATGGTTCTTACTACTAATAATACTATTGAAGTTGCTTGTATTTCTTATTTTGCTAATCTTTTTAACAGTGATAATGTTGTTCTCTGGTATTAATCATTTAATTTATGCTGATGATCTTATTATTTTTACTAATGCTAATAAAAGTACCATCAAGCATCCTTGGTAGGGTTTGGAGCACTTTCAAGAGGCTTCTGGGCTTATCTTCAATCCAAGTAAGAGTAACTTTTACTGTTCTAAAAAGTAAAAAGATTATTGTTGCTAAAAAAAAATTGGATTCAGGATTTCACTGGATATGCTAAGGGAAATTTTCCTATGGTATATTTGGGTTTCAATCTTGATAAAGGTTGTCGTAAAATGCATTTGTTTGAAAATATTATTGATAAGATTAGAAAGAGGATTCTTTCTTGGGATAGTCTTTTGCTATCCTATGGGGGTAAGGTGATGTTACTTAAAAGTATCCTTACTTCTATTCCTTTATTTACTTTATGTTTTATGAAGATGCCTCATTATGTTTGTATGAAACTGTATTTTTAATAAATTTTTGTGGGCTGGTAAAGATATTAAAATTCACTGGATGAGATGGAAACAAATGTGCAAGCCTATTAGTAAGGGTGGACTTGGTTTTCGTTCTCGTATGGACACTATGCATCTTACTTATATGAAATTATGGCTGAATTTTCGTAATGATAAGTCTCTCTGGGCTAAAATGATGCATTCTGGGCTAAAATGATGCATCTGAAATATTGTAAGGATGTGCATCCTTTGTCTTTGACCAGTAAAGCACAGGATTCTTTTGTCTGGAAAAATATGTTTCAGATGGCTAATTATACTGAATCTTATATTTGTTGGGATCTTGGTGAAGGTAGGTATAGTTTTTGGTATGATAACTGGAATGGTTTGGGGTTGCAGGTGCAAGAAATGTGTAATGGTAGCGGTTGGAATACTAATATGCTTGCTAACCTGGTTAATAGGGAGATTTGGCTAGTATTGCTAAAATTCCTATTCGTCTGGGTCCTGATAAGATCAAGCTTAAAGGTAACTTCAGTTGGTCTGCTACTAAGATTTTCTCTAAGGGTCTGTTTGGGGCAGCTGCAGCTTATTGAATAATCTGCTGATAAGCTAGGTGTGGTGACTATTACAAATTTTTATTTTTTCGGAAAAGTCATACCGCTGCCAGAAAGTTCTCACCGCACCTAGATAGATGTGGTGTGAAAACACTGTTTTCGGCGTTTTGAAAACGCATAAGCTGCTAAAGCGCAGTTTACCCAAACAGGTCAGATGCGTTTTCAAAACGCCACTGCACCAAATAAGCTGCCCCAAACGGACCCTAAGTCTCTGATTTACGGTGGACTTGGAATGACTTAATAAAACCTACTCAATCCTTTTTTATGTGGCGTCTTTTACATAAAATTATGCCTACTGATGATATTTTAAAGCTTAGAAGTTTAAGATTTCCTTCTATCTGTTATTTCTGTAAGAAGCGTGTTGAGACCTTAGAACATATTTTCTGTAATTGTTCCTGTATTAATGATTTATGGGAGAGAGTTTTAACTCTTTTTTAGTATGATGGAAATCGTACTCCTAGCACTTCCATTGCTGGTATGATTGCAGTTTGGCAGCAAGATAGATCGAAGCTTTGTAGGTCTCTTCGTGTTATCATTTTTTGGTTTATTTGGTGTGCTCGAAATACTTGTAAACATGGAGGCAAGATTTTCTCTAGCTCTAACTGCTTTTATTATATTAAAGGTTTTATCTATAAGATGTTGAAATATGGAAAGTTTAAGTCGTCCTGTAATTCAAATGTAAAGCATATGTTACTTAAATTTAGTATTGATTTACCTAGAAATTCTAAAGCTGATATTATCTTAGTTCATTGGGTTGTTCCTGTTGGTGGGTATATTAAGATCAATATGGATGGTAGTTGGACTCCTGCTGCAGGTATTGGTGGTATTTGTAGAGATTCTTTTGGTAAGGCTAGTATGTGGTTTTCTGCTCCTGCTTTAGCTTCAAGTGTTATTGAAGCTGAAGCAGAAGTGATTATGGGATTGGAATTGGCTCTAAAACATGGTTGGAATTCTTTAGAAATTGAAATGGATTCTTTTGATTTATGGTCTTTTTGTTACAGGAATAGGGATTATCGTTGGAATCTTATGATTCATTTGAAAAGAATTTTTGCTCTGACAATTGGTATTCAGGTTCGTTGGTTTTTCATTCATCGAGAAGGGAATAAATGTGTGGATTGGGCTGCAAAGCAAGGGATGAAGACTCAAAAAGCTATTTTTACTAATAAGTTCCCTGAAATTCTTAATTGTTTTATTAGGGGTGATATGATGGATTCCCCGTATATTCGTACTTCTTCTTAATTGCTTTTTTTGGATAGGTTTGGATGTGGTGTGAGTTGTATTTTTTATTTTTATTTTTTTGGGAATTGGAACCTTTTTTATTTTTTTGTGTGAGTTGTATAGGGTTTAAGTTGGGTTCCTTTCCCTATGTGTTTGTAATTTTTTATTTTATTAATAAATTGGAGCCTTTTAGTGCTCTTTATTAAAAAAAAAAAAAAAGATGTAGTTAGAAATCAGTGTGAATTTTAAAGTCTTCAACTATCTTGAAATTTTCTAAGGATTTCAATTTCACACTTAAAAAAAGCGAAAATAAACCATAATTTTTAAAATATAGTTTTTATCTACAAGCAACAAAATGAGTCATAAGAATCAAAAGAAAAATATTCAAATGAAGCACAGAGAACTTACCATCGGAACTCCTAGGGCCTTGAGATCAGCTTCAGTCATGTGCATAAGAGCTGCCATATCAACCTATAAAAGAGCTGCCATATCAACTTATAAATTAAAAAATATGAGCTTAATGTTATGTTAAACTACTGTGCTTACCTCCTCTACCTTGAACGTTATTATGTACTTCTCAAGGCCGAGTGACTGCAAAAACCCTTCTACCGAGAACTCGGACTGCAATATTACATAAGACACGTGAAAAAAAAATCTACTGCAATAAATTCATAATTGACAGGTGAAGATAAACATAATGAGTTTCGCAAAGCAAAACTAATTTGTGATGTATAAATCAGTTGACACGATCAATAATATAAATCAAGTGACAATTTACAAATAAGTATGCCACAGTTCAAACGGAACATAAAAAACTAAAGATTTTCTATATCAATCTTGCCAGTTTTACCCTATCACTTCTTATTTTATCAAAATCAAGGTTGTTTTCGGTTGTCACTCACATCTTTGTGGTCCAGCATTTGAAAACACACAACATAACACATTACACTGTAGGCCTGACCTGCTAGCAATATCATTGAATAAAAACAAAACATTAATTAAACAGACCCAAAATACCTACACAAATCAAATCTAGGCTTAACTTGATCGATGATCATGATTGATTGACCATTATTATTTACTTCAATGAAATAACAAATCAACTCAATCATTTCACTTTATAAATTCCCAATACACCTTAACTATTTTTTTTTTCCATCAACACCAGCTTTCAAGTACTGCATAACTAATAGATTTTTTATTTTACGAGATATGCCAGCAGATTTGGTCCCATTATCAAATGCCCAAATGACAAGTCGCTTCCACATCAATGGTTGTGGCTCTCACAAGCTTTTGGATAACAAAAAAGGGTTGTGGGCCAAGCTTATAACACTTATTTTTCATCTGTGCAGTGGGTAGTTAGTGTGCCTACTAAAATAAACTTTATTAAGAACCCAACCCCTCCTCTACGGTCTCTATTCTTTTTATTCTCCCTCTAATTCCCCCCTCACACAGACCCTAGCAGGGGTGTTAATTCAAGTTGATGGATCAAGTTCGGCTCTTACCCAAAGTTGGTTTGGCCCAAACATACCCGGACCCAACCCCAACTCTTTCCTTGTATGGGTTAAAATAATTAACTCAAACTCGACCATCAAACCCTTTTATTATATGGATCAAGCACTTTCATGATCTCAATGACTCAAACATGACCCAGTTAACCCAACTAAACTTACTCGAACCAACTTAACCAAAAAAAAAATGAAATAGTAATAAGGTAAATTTTCGGTTGATTTTGAGTCAACCCAAACAGAATGATAATCAGGCCTACAATTTTGATCTACACACACCTAAATGGTAATGGGGGTGGCTCGAACCCAAATTTTTGAAGTCATCGAATAGAGTCTACCTTTTCACAACCCAAACAGAATGTAACAATTGTAAGTTATACATAACAATTAACAAATGAATAGGTGGGTGCCTAAAGTTTCATCTTTAGAAGTCGAAGTTATCTTTCATACGAACAAAGTAACAGAGAGAGTATGAGAGAGAGAAAAAGCTGGGAAACCGAGAGTGGGAACAAAGAAGAACAAAAAGATGAAAAAAAGAAGAAGATAGAGATGGAATGAAGTCACCACTTGTGTGCCTAGGAGATTTTGACTCTAGTGCAGTTAAAAGGGTGGTTAGGGCAGACTACGAAGAGTTAAAAGGTCAGTATAATAATTTAAATTAAATTATTTAATATAAAAACTATACAAACACACATACATATATATTTTTTTGTGAGTGTCATGCCCCGGCCCGGCTCGGGGCATAGAATTAACTAAGATGAGAACTGTAGCCAGATGGTATTAATATTTTCATCCTATTCCACATAATTTTTAGATTACTCCCAATATATATAAGAGTCACTAATAATCCACAAAGTATAATATACAAAAATATAAAACATTTAGAAACCACATAATCTGTAGACATCTTTAACCAGCGCTAAACAATATAATCATAACATGAAAAAAAAAAACAGTACAAAGAAGCTACAATCATAATACCCAGCAATAGAGGTCCTCCTGTAAACTAAATTCCACCTGCTAAACATAACAACTTGTAATTTTCTTTTCCTGAAAAAAATATTAATTGCAAAGTTTGACTTGGTAAGCAATTATAACCTTTATATGCATTAAATTATTATATCAATGCAATGCATGAATGACTTATAATCCCTTCTCGTTTTCCTATTAAATATTTATCATTTTAACCTTTTTAAGAGTCATAATAAGATTACCATCATACTCGAAGGTATCCCAAAAATATATTTGAATGTACCATCAAAAAATTTGTACCCGAACGCACCTTCTAATTGCACCTGAATGTATATATTTACCATTTCTTTTAATGTGAACGAATGCATCGCATCCCTTGTCGATACCATCTTGGAGTAATCTTGTAGGACTTAAACTTTTACATTCCATTTCATTTAAAATAAATTTTGAGAAAACATTAAACATTCATTTTTCACTTTTCACATTTCATTTCCTTAAAACTTCCAAGCTCACAAAATAAATATAATTATAAAATGAATGTTTAAACATTACAAAAATTCTTTATTACAAAAATATTAGATTAATGCATATAAGAAAATAATTACTCATATTAGCCTTAAAGACCTATGAAAATTTTGAACCATTTACTTCACTTCCTTTGACGAACACCTAAATTAATTAAAAGTACATATAAATATAAGAATCACGTCCTAAAAGAAAATCTTAATTGTTGTTGACTTATTTAAATATGTAAAAAATTATTAAAAACACTAACCTATTTTAACTTTAAGAATCTTTGCCTTCCTCAAATCCCAAGGATTTCTCAGTCTCCTACCTCACTTCTTTACAGAAATAAAATTTAATGCATTACATTAACTAATTATATTACTAATTTCAAATAATAACATAAGGCTAAAAATTTATCTTATAGGCTTTCAAATCGATCTCCTTGCTCGCTTCACAAACTTTTCCTTCAAAACCTAGGTCTCTGAATTATAGTTTCAATTAAATTTGACCTTACATTTAATCACTTACACACACATACAAGTTTATTAAATAGCATAATTAAAACCCTAAGAACCTTAAAATCCTTTGGATGTCCAGAACTCTTCCCTTCGCTCGCACATGAAATTTGTGTCCCCTCTTTGCCTCAAGTTTTATGATTTATTAGTTTCAATCCTGATATCGCATACAATTAAGCGTAACCTTTAAATAATACATATATATATATATATATATAATTAAACAACATAATTAATTAAAACAACTCATTAAACTTACCTTACTAGGTTGTTTGCTCTACCCGAACAAACACTTGAGGGTTGTTTTAACCTTTGGTCTCAGATCGGTCCAAAGCCTCACGAATTTCTTCCTCTTTTCCAATGCTTTTGATCACGACTCTACAACGCCGAAGCCACCACACCCCTCCTTTGCATGCGAAGACAGCACAACTACCCATATTCCTCCTCTCGTGTAGGCAGTGCATCTTCAGTTTCGGCTCAATCCAGGTAAGCCCTAGACACCGCCTCTTCCCTCTCCTCCCTTTTCTTCCTTCGCACAACTCAATATTGTACAACAACTGCAACTTCCTCCTTCGACTTCTTTATCTTCTTTCTTCCTCTACTTCGAACAATACCTACGTATGAAGTCATGATTTCCTTCCACGCGTACAGCAGGGATTCCCTCTCTCGATCTCTCTGCTCTATCAATTAAGAAACACACACACACACACACACATAATTCATTAACTAAATTATAATATAAATTCAAACTTAATTGAGTTTGCTTGGATAAATCTCTCTCCTTTAGCTCGCACACTTCACTCACTTCTTCTCTCCTCCAAGCTAAAATTTTATACATTGAGTTGTACTTCAATAACTTTATATTAAGTGTAATTGAAATTAAGAAGTACTTGAGATAAGGGAGATGCAGTTTTGAGATCGAGGAGGTGAATCACTTTAAAAGATGGGGTATGTTTTAAAAAAAGTTAAAAGTTTAATTGCTTAATTTATAATTAATATTTAATAAAATACAAATATTTGAACCTAGATGATCTAGAGAAAGGGAGTCGGTGAGACAAACATACAAATTAAAGAGTAATTAGTTTTTTATATGTAATAAATTTATGTTTTATTAAATCAAAACATCTTAATGCTTTGTACAACTGTTTTTTCAATTATCTGAACGTTGTATGCATGTTATAAGCTTAAGAATTATTGAAACGAATGAAATGAAATGAAAAGGAAAAACAACAAAGGATTGTTGAATATCTTTAAAAAGAAGTAATTTAAAGAACATAAAATAAAAAGATTTAAATCATTAAGGATTACCCACAGATAGTACTAATGGGGGATGCAAAGTACCTGTGCGCGAAAAATTAGATGAAAATGGTAAAGGTATCTCATCAATTGCAAATATTTGAGAATACATTCACTTATGACAGTAATCCTAATATGACTTTCTTAAAGAGGTTAAAAGAAGTAAATACTGGAATTGAAACGAGAATGGTTAAATTTAAAATGAAAATTTATAGTTTGAGTAAGTAATGAATTACATTTTTTTTTTGTCATTCATGCATAACATTTACATATTAATTTAATGCATAATAAGATTGAAATTGCTCGCTAATTCATATAAACCTACTGTTTAATCCTTTCGGGTAAAACACTTGGTTGATATGACTGACAATAGAGATTTAGTTTACGGGACTATTGTTAATAGGTAATGTGTTGTGTTGCAGTTGTAGTTCCTATACTGTTTACTTTCAAGTAGCGTTATTTTTGTGTGTTGGTTTGAGAAGTTTTACTTGCAGACTATGATGTTAGTTTTGGATTATTTGACTTCTTAGTGACTCTTTTATGAATTGAAAATTTAAGAAATCAGTGAAAAGTAAATAAAATGATAATATCGTCTAGCTGCAGTTCCCGACTTCGTTAATGCCAAACTATCAGGTGAGTCATGACAAAGTGATATTAGAAAAAATTTAAGTTTGAATCTTGACCAAAAGAGCCCCTAGATTGATCAAATTAATTAATACATAATATTAATAAATGGTTAAATTGTGTCAAATTATAATCTTTTTTATATTATTTTAGAAATAAAGAAAATAAAGGGTAAGAAGTTAGAGATGATGTAGTAGAA